TGTAATGCCAAGGTACAATGTTGGCACTGCTTTGTTGATCATAAGTGTAGGAAATATTTTGTGGTCCCGTAGGATGTGTTGTTACAGTAACAAACACTCCCCTTTAAGAGGAGATGTTTGTGTTCAAATACTGGCTGATCTATCTTAGACAACATGAAAAACAAAGTTTAGCAGTAATTCTTTTTCAGAGCTGCAGACTTTTCAGAAATAACAAATGTAAAAGAGCAAAAATAAATGCTACTGTTGTATTTCCATTGTACAGGATTGTGAAGTTTAAACAGTATGGACATGGTATTCAATTATTACACGACAAGTGACACAACAAACTAAAATACATGTACTGTAGTTGACGGTATAGTCTTACATTATACTTCTTAAAGTAGCCCATATAGCGGATGACCCCAATCCAGACCAACATGGTGCCTGTCCCAAGGAAGATACTGCAGATATCATAACTTGTGAGGACCTAAAAGAAACAGTGCATGTTTTAAAATGCAACTAATGGACTGAAGGGATACCCTTTAAGCACATGCACACTGTAGACAGCAGCTAATACTGAAAGACAATGTGGTTTACATTGATAAATCTCAGTCATACTGTAATAGCAAAATCCCCTTAATTACCTTTGTCTGGATCTCTATCTTGAGAATGGAGCCAATGATGGTCAGTGTGTCACTAACAATGATGAGGATATACCAGCCATTCACAAACTCCAGCTTGTCTGACCATGGAATTTCTTTACCACAGTCGTTCCTGCAGTAGAGTGTGTACTCCTGTTTGCAACAGCGAGAAATGTAGGTAAGTTGCACTGTAAATTTCTGACCCTTTTTAAAAATCCTTTTGAAAGGTCCAGTGTGTAGGATTTAGTGGCATCTAGTAGATTGCAACTCCCTCGTTTTACCCTCCCCTTCCAACAAAAGGAGAAACTATGCCTATGGTGGAAGCAAAACACAAGAATAACACAAACATGCCCATATACAGCCAGTGTTTGGTTTGTCCCTTCTGTAGAAACATGGCAAACTCCATGGAAAGTGACCCGCAGCATCTGTATCTACTAATTCTAAAAGTAACAAAAAACATAACAATTCCTATATTCAGGTGATTATATACACTAATGAAAATATACTATATCTGCAAATGAGATTAATGTAGCACACTGGACTTTTAACATATCAAACAGGGATATACAGGGATGCGTTGACTACAAGGGTCCATGTAGGGAACTACCTTCTCTTGGCTGCTGTTGTAGCCATGAATATACATTTTTCATAAATGAATAGTGAAAAAGTAAAACTGACTGTGAGCCTGTAAATGTTTCACCCAACACTGTTAAAAAGGCTGTGACTTACATCCCTCAGGGTTGATTTTAAAGAAGTGTGATAACAACAGTACTTTTACTGTGGGATCAGTTCACTTACAAGCTGCAACCGAATCCCAGTGATCACTGAGCGTGTGCAGAGGGTGAAGGAGGTGATGCACGTTATAATGATGAGGCAGTCAAACAGCACAGTCAGGTATATGCTCTTAGCAGCTGAGGGCACAGAAATTAAAATTATTCTCATCTTCAAACAGATTTCATGTGCAGCAAAGTAGAGCAGCCTTAATGAACCCTAGGAAACCTGGACATGGGCTTAAAGGAATACAGACTATTCCTTTGTACATACTAAATTCAGCTCAGAAAACTTACATGCTCCAGTTACTTTCCAGTCTCTGCATTCATTGATGTCTACATCAGTTTCCAGGTCAACCTTTATCCTGCCGCTGTGAGCCTGGTTGTTGAAAGTGATCTGTTAAGCAGACAGCTGAGTTTAAGGGAGGAATGGGCTACATTCTTACAACCAAACCCAAAATGCTGCACATTCACTTGCCAGGCCCTAAAGATAGCCTTTAACTAGTAAATAGTAAACAGTGTGCAGACAGTCTTACCTATACTAAATGTGTCAAAGAAGCTAGATACAGGATTTACCCCGACTCTTTTCATGTTTGATTTTAAACCTACTGCAAGGAGTTCTTAACTGGTTATGAAACATTCTCAATTTAATACTAATGCCTTTATATGACCTACGTAAACAGACAATCAGCAAGAAGATTGGCTTTTTCTATATAATTAAGCTTAGTGCTTGCCACCAGGTCGGATTCAGTCGGATTCCTTTTTTTTTTTTTTTTAAATCAATGAAACAAGGTGGTGGAAACACTACTGCTTTTTCAGGGGCCACAAAATGAAAAGTTCCATATTGCTGCCTTAACTCATGTCTGAGCTGTGTGAACAGGTGGAGGTCACAAGAAATAGCTGCCAACGTTAATGCAGCAATGAAGTGATCAGATGTGTCACATCACTGCTTTTAAAAGACAAAGACTGTTGTGATGCACTACTGTTTACTGAGCCTTGAAGACACATCAAGTGACGTACAAAGACAAGGAAGTCGTAGCAGTCTGGGAGCTCTCGATGTCTCACTGTCTGTAAATTTATGGCCTTGAGAACAAATGTGATCTTGACAGACAGCATTCTGTAAGACAGAGCAGGTGCATTAACTCAGGGGGTTTTCTACACATAAACAAAATAAGAGGAAAATCATTTAATCTTAATAATAACAATGTTACGTAAAAACCTTTTGAAATGCAATTCAAAATGTGGAAGTACTTCCCGCACTGATGGGTGATACATCGGATAAACTTCGAGGCAGTCTGTTTGAGACAAGCCACAACAAAAAGACAACGTAAAACAAGCAACGTCAAATATTTTGCAAAAAAAAACCTCCTTAAACCGGGTTAAGTATTGTGTTTTTCCACGTGTTACTCAGACAATCATGCAGACATACCAGTCTCCACATTGGCATCAATTTCAAAGGTCTCACTTCCCGGGAAGATGGTACCGTTTCTGTAGAAATCCTGACACAGTAACAGGGGGGTGTAGATGGAGCCATTTTTGTTATATTCGTGATTGCCGACTGTGATGTTGTGCAGACGTCCATACTAGAAGTGAATAATTGAAATCTCAGTAATAATAAAGTCCAGTTTTTTGACAATTTGACAGAAGAAGTAACTCTCTGCAAAGAGCAGCAGCAGCAGGTTAGCTTGTTTAAGTGAACTGCCATTTTACAGCAAATTTAGGCATAATACACAAAAGAAAATGACATAAACTACATGAACAAAGTCCAATCTGGGCCAATCCCATGACAAGCTATACTACCTTCTTGTCATGGGAGCTTGTTAAGCTTTTTTGTCGTATAAGCATGCAGCGTTATAAAATTCCAACAATGATTTACAGTAACACAAAAGCAAAAGGAAAAAACTAGCGAGTAAAAATCCTGCTTTCTTGGTGGCAAAATGGAGTAAATAATAAGAAAATGTGAGCATTTAGATACCTGTCCAATGATGTAATCAATGTGATCATAAACATCAGTCTGTCTGTAAACAGCATATGTGTCCATGCCTCCATCAACATAATCTTTCAAGAAGAGGTGCTTGAATGTCATCAGATTTTCCTCTTTGAATGTGACAACCATCTGGTTGCTCAGCCCAAAAGACACTAACTGAGACGGGAAAGAAAGACGTTTGTTACCAGAATGAAAGAACACAATTAACAGCTGTTCACATTATGTCTGACATTACTACCTGCATAGTAATAATGGCAATTTTGATGATCTGCAGTACGAGTTTCCATGGTTTTCTTCCACGAGCATGGTACTTCTCACAGGGGTTCATGAAGTAATACTTGATCTTCCTTCTGAGACAGTCCACATTGTCCAGATTCTCCAGACACTCGTGTTGGTGGTCTGCCCAGGGAGTGGGGGTGTTTGTCTCATACACATCATACAAGTCACTGGTCTCCTCCATATCTACAATTAATTAAATATGAGTAACTAATATGCTATTTAAAAAAATTACATGCATTACAAGATTACTGAGATTAATGAAATGTGAGAAAAAATGCAACATTACAGTTTGTTTTTATTACATTTGGACAAATAATGAACTTTAAAAACAAAGTGTTGCTTTGTTGGCACCAATACAGCAAAAAAAAACAATCAACTTCACATCTGGCTTGAGCATGGTAGGTGTCAAAGTTTAGGTGTAATATGTAATGCAACCAAATACAGTTGCCATGCAACAAATCCTACCTTTTTGAAGCCTATAATGTTTCCCTTTTTTGTGTCAAAAGTTTTGAGACCTTAGTGTGGGTGTTGTAGTGTTGGACTTCCTTATATTTAGAGCTCTTTCTAATAATTTTCCAGCCCATTTACATACATAGAGGGAACTAAAATGAAGTAGAATAGAAACACTTCTTACTATTATGAGATTCAATACTTAACACTTAACAGTATCAACAAACACTGAAGATTAAAAGCTTCAAGGATAAGATTTACTGGAGGATTGTTGTCCTGGACTGTACAGGTGTGCCTGATAAACAACTACTGCCAGGAAATGTTATTCTTCCTCGTTTTAGTTCCTGAAGCCATAATAAACATCTTATAAGCTGTAGTTCTACTTCCATTGACTTTACCCTCAGAGAAAATGGTTGACTAATCAGCAATTGTCTGCGAAGAGGAAGGTTGTGAAGTCAGGTGTACCTGAGCATTGATGAATAATACACTGCAGCTCACATTCTGAAACTAGATCAGCTTCCACCATTGTGGCAAACTATCAAATATTCATTAGTTTCCGTGTAAGAATTAAACTTGTATCCTGTCGATCCTCCTGTCAACAGTGAACACTAATAAAATCAAACATGAAATTAGCCAATGGGCTGCTCACCAATGTCCCGCACGAGGTTAATTAACTTCTAATTATAATCCACCTGTCGTCTGCGGCGCGCGCGTTGTGTCCAGATTTCTTGCTCTAATTAAAATACATAACTTGCTCAAAGTGTTTTCCTGTGAGAGTCATGGCTGAAGTCATTACACTGAACTTCCGGACTGTGTATTATCTCCTGGGCGAAGTCCTCAAAACTGCGTGAGAACTGTCTCAGGTAAATTCTTACGACGATAACACGTCATCTCGCTGCTGCGACCTGATTGGCTCCTGGACCTGTCAGTCAATGTTTTTCCTCACTCCTGTAACCCCTGGCAACCAAACAATCCCACTCACCGACGAGACGTGTGGAGAGGATTTCCAAGCTAAAGTTAACTACCGTGAACTGTTTAACTACCGGTAAACTTTGTTTTATTCATCTGTTGACTGTAACTGTAACGTCTAGTAGTTACGTTACCATTAACTGTAAACAGCAGCACCTTTAACCTGTGTCTTTTTCTAGTTAGCAAGTTAACATTAGCTTTCTGACCGTCTTCTTATTGTGAGGTTGGCAGAGCTGTTAACGTTATACTGTATTATTATATTGTATATTAACCATTAAAGTTACATTACGATACTGTGACGATGGAAAGGTTGTATGCAAACGTTCTTGTCCTAAGTGGCCGTGTTTATGTAGAGTATAGTATATAATATAATAATATATTACTGATGCATTAACGTATGAGCAGCAGTGTTATGTTGTATCTGCTGCAGCTAATCTTTACTTTACTTCACTGGCATAGGAAACACAAAAAAGTATGTAAACAGAAGAGTTGTGATATGCAGAAATATATAATAGTATATACATATATATACTGTTTTGGTAAATGAATCTGTAAATGCATCATGTGGTAAACAATTTGTAAATAGAAACTATAGATGTAAAAATAAATGTAGTATGTCAGATGGATACAGTATGTTGTTGATCTAACTTACTGAATCTGTTTGCATTCATAGATGGATTTGCCAAACAGTATATATTTAAATAATACTCTTCAGTTTATGTATGTTTTGCAGTGTAAACAGTGTGTTTCCCATGTTAATGAAGTAGTAAAGATTAGCTGCACCAGATACAACATAACACTGCTGCTCATACGTTAATGCATCAGTAATAATAACAACTATACTTTAAGTATTGCCTCTTAGGACACTTAGGCAAGAAAGTTTGTATACAACCTTTTCATCATCACAGTATCATAATGTAACTTTAATGGTTAATACACAATATAATATTACAACATAACACTGCTGCTCATACGTTAATGGATCAGTAATAATAACTACTATACTCTAAACATGGCCACTTAGGACAGGTTTGTTTATAAAATATATCAGATAACACATAAAAGTAACACAGAAAAGACTAAATTAGCTAAAATTGTATGAACAGAAGAATAGAAAATACTTTGGCATACCATGTTCATACCGGACTTTATTGTGATAGTGCTAAACCATCCCCACTTTATATCACTAGTTATAATCTTAGCACATGTAAACTAATGTAAACCATAAAAATGTTAGCCTGAAGACTTGGCTTCATTTTGTTTTTTACAGACAAAGTAAATTTAGGTTTATTATATTCTAGAGGTCTGTTAAAAAATGCATCACAAAAATGGGTAAATTCTCTTATCATCCACAAGATGTCGCCACGTGCATTGATAATACATTTTCTGGCACTTTTGGAAGACACTGCTCTATCACTGAGTGTAAGATGAGCTTGTGGTGTCTTCCGACAAGAAATGCAACACCATATGTTGTTAAATTTGTTTGTCAACTTTCTCCCTCTCGTTAGTGAAGCTATTCTAAGAGCAAAGATGCCACCGAAGAGACCAAAGAGTGCAATAAGCAGTGCAGGCAGTAAAGGGAGAGCTAAAGGTGGGTGTCTGAATACTGGTACAGTCTAAATGTGTGTAAATGTATGCAAGTTTGTCCAAGAAAGATCAAATGGAGAGACATTGTAAATAAAACTGACTGTTACTTCCCATTTAGGCAAAAAGAGTCAGTCACCTACACTTGTGGAAAAACCTGGTAAGAGAAAATCATCTTTTTTTAACTTATTTATTTACCTATCCTAAACTGTGTTGTAGAAGAGACAATGAAAAAGGCCTTTCAATACTGAAGCACTGAAGTACTTTAATAAGAATGATTTATATTGTCTAGAGGTCTCGTTAATCTTAGACGACATTTGAACCCAGTTAACTAAATAGAATATAATCAAATTCCTTTATTGACATTGCACATTGTACAGCAAAGTTTGTTGTGCAACTCCTAAAACAGAACTTTAAGACTTAAATTTAGTTCTATACATTTCGAATTTTAACCTGATAGAGTCCATTTGTATTTGATTCCCTTTGTTTATTTGATAGGGCAGGGTCCTTTAAATGAAAGCTCTAAACCATTTATTCCCATTTTCCTTGGATTATGTAAGACAACTGCATCAAATGGACTGGCTTACTTTGAACCAGAGTTGTAACAAGCATGGCTGAAACTAATAATCAGCGATGTCTGTGAGTTGTTGGAGAAACGATATGCATTCTTTAGATGTGATCTTGAGTCTACTGTTGCATAGCCTTTGGACATGCTCTCAAGTCAGCTGTGGGTCCCCATTGTCATGGTCTGGTTTGCTTTCAACATACCGGCCCTGAAAACATGCTTTTGGTCAAATGAAGGTCACCAACAATATATCTTTTTACTATAGATTATGTCATTGGCCCCCTCTGGGATTTAAAAGTAATAGTGTTATGAGTCCTCAGATTCAGCTTGGCTCTTTGGTAAGTTGGTACCAATTTCCAGCTTATGTAGCAGAAGAAGTTTAGCCTAACCTTAACCTAACCTAACTGACCCTAAAATCAAGTCTTAAACCTAAAATGTAATGGTTAACCATAACCAACTTTTTGTTAGACCCCATCTTGTGACAATGACGATATGGTGGCCCACTGACACAAATATAAAGCTCATAAACGGCCATTGTTCACGCTTAAATTGTTTACGAGTATCAACAGAGATGAAAACAAACAACCATAATTACCATGTACTGTGGTATAGTATAAATATCTGACGGTATGCAGTTGAAAAATGAGTGGATTATGCAAGAGGAAAGAGGCCCGACAATTTAGAAATACCTCTTCATCGCAGCCTACAAATGCAATTTAATTGCATTCTTTAGGGTTATGGAACATTGCACATCACACTCTCTTTGTCTCTCAAGCAAATATTTCCCATGAATACAAATGCCATAGTTGACACATAACTCTGTGAAATGAGGGGTGTGAGTTTCCACTACAATGATTTGGCGTGAGGCCTAAGTGGTGTGAGTGGGAAAGGTTGACACACCCAGCTGGGAAGTGGTTACTTAAGCTGTACTTTAGCATTCCCAGCGTCCCCTCAGCAACCTTGTGGAAAGACTTTGAAGAGAGAGACCGCAAGCAGGATGAAAACTATCATTATGCAGCGCCCTGTTTACTGTAGTGTGCCCTGGACTGAGCCTGGCCTTAGATATGAAGGATTCTTCATAGATTGTTTATTAAGAAAAACTTTGTAGTGGTAATGGTGCAGCACTGCGGTTTTATATAGAAACAATACTGGTTAGGTGTAACTGAGCAGCTCATGTCTTGAATTCATGCATTATTGATCTACCTCTCACATGGGACTAGAGTAGAAAATATAGCAGCATTACCCCTACCAGCGTTTGGACATTGCGTCTAGGCTATTCACAAGGATTGCATTTCAAGCTGTGATATTGTAGGGTGGTCCACCCTGCAGGGAGGGGCAGGTGAAGGATCAGAAGCGTTGTTGTGCGTTTGATCAGAAAAGCAGGGGCAAGAATCTGTGTCAAAGTCCGTAGGCAATGGTGACTTTAAAGCCTATTGTGTGACTATCACTTGACAAGTGAGGTTTAGGTTCTTAGTTGTGGCATATCTACATTCCTACTCATCACACTTGTGTCTCTGTTAAAATCGCTGTTTCATCTATTTCTACAACTATTTCTGCTTTCTGTAGTACAGTCCTGTCTTTCTCTGTGATCTCTGAGGTACATATAACTCATTTTGTTCTTTTCACTGTTCACTACCTGATCTATAAACCAACTGTTGTTGCACTGTATGTTTCTAAGCCTCTTGGTTTTCCTCGTTTAAGATTAAACTGACATAAGATAGCAAAAAACGCAGATTCTATACGCATGACGTAATCAGAAATATTCCGTTCATATTTTTCTTTTAATGGCTCTATTTTGCCATCTCTAGCTGCAAAGCATTATTTTCACGTGATTTCATTTTGACGCACAGATGATGACATCAATCTGTTTTGTACAGTCTGCGGGATAGACACAACACATAGACATGACAATTAAATACCTAGCTTATTATTATCATTGTCGACACTATATGCCATAAAATCTTCTGGCATCTGACAAAACACCTCGACTTATGATTTCAGATTGATCCTAAAGTAGGAATGTAACGATACACTATTCGATACGATTCACTTTACTGGGTTCATGATATGATTTTCTCACGATTTAAAAAATAAAAAAAACTTGAAGATGCTTTATGACTGAAAAAGATTCCTTTACTTCTCAGACAAAAAAAACATATTTTACTCTTATATTTGATTGTTTTGTTTTATTTATTTATTAGTATAAACTGCATAAAACAATGCAATTTCTTTGTAAAAGTGAAACTGATGTCTGAAACAGCTACTGACTCGCGTTACGTAGAGTATCAAACAAGCAAAATCAAAAGTAGATAATGTACTCTGCTGTTTATTATGAGTATGACGATGAAATTTGTTTACATTGTTTCTATATGGGGGCTGTTGTTAGAATAATATCTATTATAATCTTAAGATTAGTGATCTAAACTGGTGTCTTGAAAAGTCACCCAACAGACAAACAAATGATGCTATTATAAAGTTGTTTGCCCAAATACAAGTACAATCTAAAAAACGATTTTCAATCGTGTGATTGAGGTTTAAATCCAGCTGGTTTTAATATATAATTTCTGCTGTCTCCCATCTTTCTTTTCTGTATTGATCGTGAACTCTCTCACCAAGGTCATCCTGAGGATATCTTCCCCATGGTCCTGACATCAGCCACCCAGGAGCTCTTTGGTTGCCTCGCTGATGAGGACGTCACAGGGGAGAGTCCCTACAAGCTGTTGAAAAAAGACGACATCATACAGGACATTAAGACAAGAGCCGCAGTGTCCGATTTCAGCCCCGTGAAGCAGATTGTGCTGGTGAGGCTGATCCATTGTCATAGAGATCACTCAGACAATACCCCCAAGATACTGTGATGATACACAGACCCCAAGTTAAGGGCTGTGGGAACAGACCGGTAACCAGTTTAGCCTAATTTCCCCTCTGTCTCTGATCTAGATTAAGTACATTGTAACCACCACTCTGCTTTATGCATTCATGCCCTTTCTACCACAGCACATTAGTCTAATGAGACCAGAGAGCGCCCTACAGACTCATCTGCTCTAAGTGCTAAGTAATGTCAGCTTTCTTATTAGGGATACAGCTGAGACCTGGATGTGTGTGTGTGGTAGTATTTTTCTGCGTTTCTAAAACCCACAACATCAGTCTTCATGTTTGAAATCCACATCTCACTCAACCGTCTACTATCTTGACCAAATTACTGCTGTACCAGGTTTCCTTGTGGTTGCCAGAATCAATTCAAATAAACCACATTGATTATTTCTAATGAAACTGCTGAATGTTCCAAATTCCTTTATCTGACAGGACTACCCAGAGGATGAACTCTTGCTGGTGTATGACAGGGATTTCACCTATGAGCAGTGCTTCTACCTGGTTCTCACACCAGAAGCCAAGGACAGAATCCTCAATGTAAGTTTTGTTATGGTAACAAGGTTCACTTTTCCCTAAATTGCCTTTGTTCTTACTAATGCCGTATCCACCACTTGGTGTTTTGCTGCAGTCGGTTTTTGCACTAACTGTTCTAAACATATAATTATGACATATTCCTAGTTGTGAGGATAAATGCCTTAGTCATTTAGCATGAACATTTAAGAAGGCCAATTTTATTGAAATTTTGTAAATGTTTCTTTAATATTGGGGGTATGCACTCTATTTTATCACTTATCTTCTACTTTAGTTTGTTTCCTGTTCTTTTTATACTGTATGTTCTTGTAATTATCTCTGTGTTCTGCAGCCCCCTGAGCCTGAGACATCACAAGTGCTTGAGAATGTAGTCAATAAAACCCCAGAACCAAAGGAATGGATATCTCTTGGCAGCGAGCTGGAAATAGATGAAGAATCTATCAAAGAGACCAGAGAAAAGGTACTGCAGTGTATGAAAAACATTAAATATGCAATATCAAATCTGACTCTTTCTCATTCTCCCATTTCCCTCTGTCTCCTTTTTGTCATCAGTTGTGGTACAAGTTCTCCAGAGTGCGGAGGAAGTTTGGGGTACCAGTCTGTTTTTCAGACCGCAACACTGCAGATGCGAAGGATGGCTACCTAGAGTGTGCTTCCTATCAAGACAGCAGATTCAGCATCAAGCAGATGCAGAGGGACTGCGGGATGCAGGCTGTTCCCAGACTGCAGAGCAGCAGTGCTCAGACACAGTGGTATGCCAGCAAATCAGTGCATATAAAACGAATTTGTTCTACAGGGAGGAAAAAGCACTTACAGTTTCTGCCAATACCTGTCAGTCTGGTGAAATAATTTCAAATGTTTTAATGCATTACGAAGACAAGATGATTTTAACACTGAATACAATATTAAATCCCTTTGTGAGAGTATTTTTCTTTATTGTTCATGCATTTATGCTTTATACTTAAGTGGGGCAGAAGTCATTTATTATAGATACATTCATTAAATAGCATTTACCATATACCATTTTTCTTTCTTTATTGTTTGAACAGCAACACACCCACACATGTATTATGTATAATTATGTTCTGCCCACTTTACAGGAAGTTTCAGAGGAATATCTTTACCCAGTACGTGCCAAGAGAGTTAAGTGATGAAGAAAAAGAGAACATCCTCCAGTTTGAGAGTCTGAATAATTTTTGCAACTCAGTGACCCCCAGGTAAAATTATATATGCTAGTAAGTCATGCTGTGTGTCTGTCTGCTTCCTAAGGGAGAATATTGTATAGGAAGACTGATAATCAACCCAAACTCATACAGTACTGTATGTGCCTCAAGGTACTCAAACTCATGCATTATTACCACTGTAGTGTTAGAATATTCACAACTACTGTTACTTTGAGGAAACTGACAGACACCTTCACCTTCCCTGTGTACTATACTTTGTGTTGTTATACTTGCCTTCACAGACCAGACTTTGGGTTTTAAACAAAAAATTCAATGTTACATTGTTAGCTTACACTCTCCCACACCCCCAAATGTCCTTTGTTCCCAGGTAAGGGATAAGAGAACATCTGGAGTATAAGAGGACTACATCTGTGGAGAGATATCAAAGTGAAAAATTATGCACAACTTTATAAAAGTTTTGCCTAATTTAACCTAAAAAAAAAAATGTATTTGATTGAATTTCTTGCAGAGTTTTGCAAGCCCTTCAGCAGGAAGAGATCATGAATGGGTTCTTTGATGATTGGAAGGCTCTGGGGGCAGCAGCTGAAGACGGTGACTGGTCTGGGAAGGTCTCTGAAGGTTTGATGCTTTATCAGGCCTTCACAGACCAGAAGTACACTAAGGACAAGAAAATCAGCAGTATTAACTGGCACCCTACCATCTACGGTAAAGTGTAAAATCACACGCAAGAAACAGATTTGAATAGTGGAAAGTTTTTCTCACAAAAAGCATTGACCAAAAGACTAACTCCCTCAATGCTGTGAGGTCATCATCGACATCCATAATCTGTCTGTTCTTTGTGGAGATTACTTTTGTTAGTGTATAAGAGCAAATGAGGTCAATATGGATACCATGGGTGGGTGCAGGTAGCATTCAGGAGATTATGGTTTTAAATGTCTATAATAGCATTAGGTTGGAAAATGATGGACAATGTTAACCGTACATATAAGTAAAAAAAAATGATTGACATTCATTCTCCCTGGGATCTCACTGACACTGGCAAGTACCAGAATTTCAAATCCTTATCCATGATAAAAGCATTATTGTTCTTTACCATGGCTTCGTAATATTTCTCGGCTGTCATCACCAATAGATTAGGCTTCCAGCAAGATCAGAATGGATCAGAGTTGAGCCAAAAAGACATATTTAACATCTATTTTCCTGATGCTGTAAGTTGATACATTGTACGATGTGTTTTTTGATGTGGTAGGTGTGTTAGCTGTGGCTCTGACAGAGCAAAAGGAGGAACGGACGAAGGACTCCACAACCTTTGTCGTCACACCTTCTGTCATTCTCTTCTATAGCTTCTCCGACCCTTCTATTCCCCAGGTATGGAAAGTATATGAGGGGACCCTCTGAGTGAATATGGAGAGTGTATAAATTGAAAAGAGATTGAGAAAACAGAATTTGTCTGTCTCCCTCACAGCTTACAAGCATATTCTCTCCATTCTCACCTCATTTCAGACACGCTTAGATCAGAAATGGCTGGAAGGATTTGGTTTGTGCTGTCATTCAAGACCATTATTTGCTTTCAGAAAATTTGAGAGGCTCTATTGATTTGACCCAGGCCCCCAATCAATAAAACTGAGCTGCTAAATCACTCAAAAGTAATATGAGTTCTGGTTGACGTATGCCTTCACTGGCGCATGTGTCATGCTTTGGTTTCACTGTCTCCATGAAATGGAATCTACTGTATGCATTTGGTTTTGTGGATTAAAAGCTGAACTTTTTATGGAGAGACTAGAATAAATAAATAGTCGGGATGGCAAGCACCCAATACATGGAAATGTCTACTTTGAAATATAATATTTCTGCCCTGTGTATGTGGGTTTTCTCTGTTGTTTGCAGTTGCTGCTGGAGTGCCCAGATGACATTTTTGCCTTTGAGTTCTGCCCCTCTGATCCAAATATTATCGTTGGCGGCTGCATAAATGGCCAGGTGCTGACTTTGACTCTGCTCTGCATCTCTGGTTTGCTGCATCTGCTGCCTTTTCTGCCTCATAGTAGCTTTTTGTCCCTTACTACTTTCAGAACAAGGGAAAATGAATAGAGATAAAGATCACTGATAGAATCAAATAGACCTTCAGCCATGTTAGTCATATCCTGTAAAGTTCCCATGTATTGTCTCTGTTCCTATTCTGCTTTTTACTGACATTTACTAAAATCTCCAACTGATCTCTGATTTCATGTTGCTCTTGTCTCAGGTTGTGTTGTGGGACATTTCTGCTCACGTCACACACTTACTGGGAACGCAGCCTGGTAGTAAAAAGGTCTCTGTCAGCACTGACACATTTGTAAGTATCCATATCCTGTCTCTAATGTGCACAATGTTGATGCAATGATACATGGTGTTCTGTATCTGTGTTGGTGTATATGTACATGTGGTATCACTTACCGTAATTCTTTGGCTAGTGATGATGTAAGCTTGGTTTATTCAAGTATGAGCCCTCAGATTATCAAAGCATGCAGCATATTTGCTGTAAAAGACAGGCTGTACTCTTCAGTGGTGCTGTATGACAGAGTGAGATGATGATACGTTGACTCCTGAGTTCTCTCCTCATCCTCACTCTTTCATTAGATGGGAATGCAGTGGCCTAATGGTCCTTTTCAAGCGAGCCACAGCTGTCAAAACTAGTTCAACAAACGTACAAATGCCAATCTCAAAGTAAGTTTATATCATTACATGACCCCTCTGCCAAACTAAAGCAGCCTAATAGGGCTCATACAAACACCCGAGCCAGACTGAAGTGATCTAACTGAATTAAAAAACTCTTGACTTAAGACCGAAACTTCAAAGATGGTTTCTTTTATGGCTCAACATCACAGTAAACTAATATTTTCATAGCATATCTTTCCTGTTTAATGGTATTAAGTGCTGTAGAGTAATAAAGAAAAGGTGGGGGAAGAGAGATGTAATGATACGTGACAAAAACCAGGGCTCAGATTTAAAACCACAACATAGCAAGTGGGTTAAATCCACCATAGCCTGTTGAGACATCCAGACACCAAATATTAAACCCGTTCTGTCTCTTAAAGCCTGACCTCCACTGACATCTTCCACTCGGCTGTTGTATTTAAATAGACACATATGCCCCCATCGTCCTGCCCCCAGTTGCTTTGTGTGTTTTTATTGCCTCTACAGTGGAACAGCTGTCTCCATCCCTGTCCTCTCTCACCCTCCATACCTCCCTCTATTCTCTTTATTCTTGTTTGCTCTTCATTCTCTAGAGTCAACAGCATCAGCTCTCATACTCCGCCCTCCACCATAGTGTGTCCCCATAGAGGATAACAACCAAGCAAATCAGATCACTGCCCTCTCCTGTGTTTGCAGTGTAAACAATGGCAGTTGTATCTGCTAAAAGGCTTTATTTCTATAATGAGTGCTGTGAAAGCTGCGCTACACCAGCACCTGTTGCTAGCTTATCAGATGAACGAATAATTAAAATCCTCGTGTATAGATTTGTGTTCTGTTCACACCATTTAAATCCAAGTGCACATGTTAAGCACAACCAGAATGTAGCAGTGTGAGTAGCGCTTTTGAACTAGTGATCTAAAAAGCAGACGTGCAAACTGGTGTGATAATCAGCACCGCAGAAGTTTGGATTTTGTTGAGCTGTTATTGAACTTTTTTTCCAGGATTAATATCTTTTTCGCTCCAGTCTTTGGAGTTTTGTGTTGCAATAAACATAATTTGTTTTGCATGCTGTATTTGAATATATTGAGCTGGACCATTAGGATAGCTGTTCACCACTGTAAAAAGTCTTTGTATTTAGATTGAATCGTCAGAGCTGACTGTACACGCTGTGCCTTTTGTGTCTGACCTCCCACCAGGACCTCGATGACAACCAAGAGAATAAGACTCCTGTCGTGCGCTACTGTGCAGTGTCTGCCTTAGAGAGCAGGCACAAAGCCCCAATTACTGATGTCCAGTGGCTGCCACCAACATTTGAGGTACACAGAGATGAAGGGCAGAGGGGTGGGAAGGGGTAACAACTGCAAATCTGACATGAAACACTGAACACTGTATAGACTTATTTCTTGCCATTTTCCATCAGGGGAACATTAGGTAAGTGCTGGAACATTCCACAAGGTTAATCAGTATTTCATTTGGCCTCTCTTGATTATTAAAAGGTGTTTTGTGTGACCACACAGCAGTGGTTTCAGCAAAACATTCTTTAGTGTTTTCTTGATCTCGAGCTGCTTTTATCATATCTAATGTAAACACTGTGGCATAGTTTCCAACATACCGGAGGCAACTAAAGTATATTTTAATCTTTTACATCTAAGTCTCAAATTGATAAAGAAACATTAAACACTTAACAGGTCAGGTCTCTTATTGCTTTAATGATTTCTATATCTAGTTTTGGAACATTGACAGACTTTTTGTCTGATGGTTATAAATCACTTGAATGTCAACAAGACTAACAGGAGGTAAGGCAATATTGGACACGGAGTAACCAGGGCAGAGAAAGGGCTATAAAGGATAGAATGTAATACATTGAGGAACAAAAGTAATGGAAAAAGACGACACTGCCACAAAAAATTGCATATTTAGCATTGCCTAACGAGGTTTTGTTATACTGACAGACTTTCCTGTTCCTAACACCTGCAGAAAATAATGTATGTGGTCCTGTCTCGTCTGCTAATGGTGGCCCAGCATGAAATAAATTATTTTAATCTTCTGTACAATACATGTAAAAATCTATTGACCTGAAGTTTACTGCAGTGACACAATGGTGTTTGGGCACAAACAAGTGCAATAATAACTGTGGAAGGTAATGCCAGCAGTAGTAAAAATGTTCATACAGTAATAATGAACTTTGCTCTCACACAGATTATATAAATTATTACGGTCCACAGTTCCTTAGCTTGTCGTTTAGGGTTTTTAAAACCTTCTTCATGAAACAATGAATACATTATCATTCTCGCTTCCCATTGGTGCCTTTCTCTCGTGTCTTTATAGCCAACTATAATAAATCATGACAACCACTGGCACTCATCTGGATAAGTAAAATAAGGCAATCATCAAAGTGCCCCCAGGGGCACATTAAGCTCCCATATATCTGCAGGAACCTTATTCACTACCATCAGCTCTGTACAATACTAAGCCTGACAGACATTTGTTGATTTTGTGACTCTCTCTCTCTGATTAGGTGACCAGGTCAGGCTTACCTGTGGAGAACAAGTATAACATTTCTGTTCAGGTTGTCACCTGCTCCCCTGACTGGTAGGTCAATAATAAATGTTCCATTTATGAAATGCTGGCATCTTGTAGCCAATATAACCAAGTGGCATATGACAGATTTTTGTCTTAACAAGTAGCTTGTTTCTGCCTGATTAAAAAAAATATGGTTGGCAGCTACAGAGAATTTCTCGCTATCTTTGATTTATTACTATTGCCGCCCCCACTGTTCCCTTGTCTTTCTTTGGAATTCAGTGTTATCAGTCAACGTTAGTTGTACTTGTGTACGGTGTTGGCACTGTAGATACCAGAATAAGCTGTTTTGCTGTTGTTGGTGTTTGTATATATGTGTCATACTAATTGGTGGTTTATGTCCTGCCAAAATCTGACTGTTTTTAACCTGTTTAACCCTTTATGACCAACCATGTATAACACATTTACAACTGCCACTGTTAATTTCATAGATGTTATCAGGGTTATTAAAACTGACACTCTGTTCCATGTGAGGGTAGTGACAGATGAAGTACTTTCATTTTTAGTCATACTCATTCAGAATAGTGTATATTATATTATTGCATTATAATAGTTGATGCATTGATGTGTTTTTCAGCTGGTAAAGGTGGGGCTAATTAAATCTTATCTATCACTGTGATACAACCAACATCTGCCACTAAATGGAGGTTCTCCATGGACAACGTAAACAAAAACTAGACTGACTTGTCCTCGCCCTGCTGAACATACTGTAACAGTTAGATATCTAAGAGCTTTGGTCAGTCAGTGTCTTCTGTTTCCAGATTACAGGTCCCACTAGACTCTGTGTTTTTCTGTGGTTTACTAGTTATATCATCATTGTTTGTATCGCACACAAACATGTTTGTGAATTCCTGTCACATATTCTGAAGGCGCTAAATGTGAACGTACATAGCAAGGCAAGGCAGAGTTGTTGATATAGTATACTGATTTATTTCAGCATCTGTGAGAATTTACACAATTCCAGTGTTTTCTATATTTGAACAGTGAAATAGTAATTTTGGTGTGTTTACTAACCTTTCAGCTAATATACCAGCTGTTGTCAAAGCTGTTTGTTTTTCTTGTAGCTTCGATACACTTGTTATGTATTTGGAAGTCTGGTTTATGTACAGTACTGTAGATTTGTAGTGAAGGGGTCGAAGGGGATGCCAAAGTACTGCTCACTGTCAGCAGTTATTGGCTTTCCCTGAGTCTGTATCAGTCAATATTCATGGTTTAAATATGAACAAAAGCATTTAAGTTTTGATTTGTTTTTTCAGGTTGATAGTAATTTTTTCATTCTGCTGTTTGTCTCTCCTCTAAAAGCACTATAATGTTCTGGGATTTGCGCATGCAAAGGTTATTGAGCCATTCAGCAACAGACAGAAAGCAGAGTGTGGATCAGAAGACCCAGATGACACCTTACAGTGTCCCTGACACTTTCAAACATCTGGACCGGACTTGGAAACCCCTTTTCAGGGTACTGCAGGGCTTGAGGGTGCATTACAAAACCCAGTCACAGAAATGATTTTTGGAATTCAGATTAGATTATTTCTAATTTACCCAATTAAATTCAATTAGGTATTGAAATTAACACAATCAGAAGGATTTTGGAGAACAGGATAAAACACAATGTAAATGTAATATTATGTCCAACTTAAATTTAAAAGCTCTGTCTATGTGTGTATTTATGATGTATTTCTGTGTATTCAAAAGTAATACTTTGTATATATTATATATGTGTGTGTATATATATATATATACACACACATGTATATACACTATAATGGTTTTTAGTGTGCAGTTGCTTGAGCATAGTCTTGTGATTTGTTTAAAATTGTCCTCTTCTCTGTCATGTCAGGTTTCCCTGCCAAAGATCGATACCAGTGGAGAATACGCTCCTTTGAAGTTCAGCCTGGAACACTACACCTGTAATGGTAATACAGGTAGGACCACAGGTGAGGGAGTTTGAAGTTTGAATATTTTTTTTAAAAGGGACAATGCACGTTAATTAGGATTTACCCTTGAGGCTGCCTCAGTTTGTTGCACTAGATTGTCTGAAAGAGAAGTTTTTTTGGTCACACAGCAACCTGGATAAAGAATGAGATAAAAGTAAAATTCAAATTGCAAGTTCAAAATGTAAAACACAAAATTGGCTTTCGAGTAGTCCTGGTTTCGTTCCGTTTTCTTCTTCAAAACATTGCAGGTGAGAGGAAAGCTTGCTTTGTGAAGGTGAACAATTTATGAAGTATTTGGATTTGGAGCCTTTTTGTGAGGAAACCAAATAATGAACATTTCAAACATATCTATTCCATGTCTGATAGTTCTCAAATACGTGGGCACAACTACGAGTCTATTATTTTTTTTGGGGGGGGGTATGGGATTCTTTAATTCTGCTTTGGATGGTTGAGCACAGTGATCAGTGGGGCAGGGTTCACTCAGCTCTCAGGTACTCTCCTTCTCCGTCCGTCTCCCTCTTCTCTCCTCTGGTTTCATAGCACTTTATTAAGTGATACTTCCAAAACAAGGCCCTCATAGTTGCAGAGAATTAGCCTTGCTGACTGTCAGCTCTTTGCAATATGCTGCTCTGGTTCCTCGAGGGCCAGAAGACGATCGTGTGTGTCCTGGCTGGTCAAGAAGAGACCTGTCTTTGTCTGGCTGAAGGTCTGCCTCCATAAACACAGCTTTGGTGGCTGGCGGTTATAGAATTAATATGTTCACTAACTGAGGCAATAAATCTGCTGCTTTTTTTTTCCATCAGCCCTCAGGCAGTCTGTTATTAAGGTTTTAATGAATCCCTGTGTGATTAATACTTTGGTGCTACTTAAGATGTTTGGCTGATATTGATTGAGTCTATGCTGTCTCTGAGCTATTTATTCAACATTTTGTTCTGTGCCTTTTTATAGTTTCTGATGCTGGAGTCACTGTAGAAATCTCCACTCTGCCCTGCAACAGCACCACATCATTTTCCACACAAAGTTTTTGTAACCCCTTGTAGGGCTTAAGCAACAGTTGAGCAGCAGTGCAGTGTGGTAAAAGGGAAACGCTGTCTACATCTGTAGCTGTGCTGTATCGTCTGTCTCATATCTTTACACACATCTTAACTGGAGGGAAAGTGGATTTAGTAGATGTGTGATTGGGTAATCTGATCTGACCTTCAAAAGCTAATCTAGCAGAGTGAGGCTGAGGCTTGATTGGGAGCGGCCTGCTGATAAGAGGGTGTGAAGGGATAGTCCTGTACTGTCCCTGACAGACAGTTGGGCTTTTGTGATGGGAAAGGCCTCTTCCATCACAACCATCCTGCCTATCTCAACCGTCTCACCCTTCTCCCTTACTGTCCCCCCTTCTCACCACAATCCTCAATCCCACCTCCACCTCCTTTCTTTCCCACTTCACTCATATCCCCTTTTACCAACCCATTCACCTCAGTTGTACCCCTCCCCACCTTCCTCTCTTTTGTCCTTCTGCTGTCTTGTTCATGGTCAGATTACAGAGCAGGCTACACCAATGCCACTGTTCACTCTCTTTTATTGTAGTCTCCATTTTAGATACATAATAGATTTTTCTTTCCTGATAAGTCAGTAGTTTTTTCAAATTCTTGCATTGTTCTTCCTTTACTGTTGTGTTTTCTACAGTGCATTGTCCACGTTTTTGTTCCTAATGATTGCCTGAAAATGGCTACTGGAAGAAAGAGCTGAACTTTTAACCACTGCTATCGTTGTTCCCCTCTCCAAACACTCTTTATTTCCCCTTACAGAAGAAGATAATGAAAATGATGATGGTGATAGCTCAAAGGTTATCCCAGACTACAGCCAGCTCAGAGTGCCTTCAGCTAAAACAGCCACAATTCTGGAGGATGTCAATACCAAGCTCTATATTGGAACAGAGGTAAAGATTCCTACCAATAAAATCAACAACATCAAGCAGTGTTTTACTTGAATGCATGAGCTTCATGTGATGACCAAACTGCCCTGAGGAAATCATTCTTCACTATGAGCCTTTGTCTTTGTTCCATTATTAATATCTGTAAGCATAAAAACTCTCAAAGTCTTGGAAAATATTGGAAGAACCTACAAAAACTATGACGAAGAAGTATCTCATCTCAAAAACATCACAAATGTACTGGCAGATGTAACATTTAAGTTATGCTTGACCAGCACATAAGCAACAGTTTTATTAACACCACCTTTAACAAAACAAATATTTATTTATTTATATTTTGATTTAATTATTCCATGTTTCCTTGTAACATGTTCCATAATGTATATGATTACTGCCAGGATGGGGAGATTGTTCACACTGATTGGAAACTGGAGAAGGATGACTCAGGACGTCTGCAAAGTGAGTATTCTGCCTTGCCATTATTAAAGTAAGTTTAAAGGGACATAAACCCATTAACTGCAAATCATGGATTCTTGACTATTTGGACCATTGTCCAAAGCAGACCTGAATGCAGTTTGATGTCTTGAGATAAAATAAGCCTTGGACAGTTAGAGGTTTAAATACAATTATACTGAAATAATTTAAATCATTTTAATAATTATTATCACTGTAAGTCTCTTCTTTGGTTTGGAAGCCATCCTTATGTAATCACCATTAAAAATTAATTGATACCTTTACAGGGAAACAGAGGGTTCATTGTTCGTTGTATTGCATCGCCCTGTTGCTCAGTGGAAGCAAATTACTGTCAAATATAATAGTGCACCTTCTCTTCCTGTCTCTCCCGTCTCCCAGGTGCCAAGCCCCTCCACTGTTTTAACATCCATCACTGGTTGGTGAATACGGTACAGCGGTCACCCTTCTACAAAGACATTATTCTGACAACGGGAGGCTGGAACTTCGCCATCTGGAAGGAGGGAGTCATGGTAACACCACCCGTCACCTCAAGTACAATAGGAAAAAGTATTGCTACCAGTTAAAAATCATACCCACTTGTTTGACTGAATTAGAATAAAATGTATGATCATGACACAAATGATCAAGGTTATCCTAGACCTTTAATATAATCAGTCCTCTGATCTTCATCCAACAGACCAGATTTATTCATTATATATTATTTTATCATATTTTAAATCCACTGACTCTATTTGACTACGACATTCAGGATGGCCCCATCGTCCTGTCACCAAGCTCTGAGCAGGTGTGCACCTCGGGGTGCTGGTCCCTGTCCCGACCAGCTGTTTTCTTCATTGGGAAAGACGATGGGAGCATTGAGGTGTGGAACCTGATGGAAAAGACCAGTGAACCTGCGCAGGTCCACGCACACATCACCAATGCCAAGATAACCTGCATCAAACCCTGGACTGCCTCCTGTGAGTTCTTGGCCTCTTACTAAAACACAGTAGTAAGCATATGTGTGGCTCCATTGAGAATGCATTACTTGTTGACTTACTGTGTTTTGTTTCCAACTTTTGTGTCTCACACTTTATTATTATGTTCACCTAAATGACAATGGAGGTAAGCCTGTGATCAGAAGCTTGCTACAAACACACAATATATATATCAATCAAGTAATCACACTTTATTTATATAGCACCTTTAAGGTTAATGTCGTTCAAAGTGCTTGACTGATGCTTGACTTGATTGATAATGAGAAAGGACAACTGTAAAACAGTTTGAGAAGAAATGAAAATGTACTAATAAAAAGAAATAGTGGCCATAAAACATTCTAATATACTCTCTTGCTGCTGTTAATGTCTGTTTTACTTTACTACTTTTTTTATGTACAGCCAAGCAGCACTTCCTGACTGTGACTGATGACATAGGAATGGTCCGTGTATTAGAAATCCCAAAGGTACTCTACGTTCCCACCAGGAATGAGGTAAGACAGTCTAACCACCTCTCATGTACTCACTTTAAAGAATATTATTGTTGTCTGTTCACTTATTATTATGTCAAAAGAAATAATAATGTACTCGGTGAAGGTTGCAAACAAAATCCAGCACTGCAGCATATTTACTGCATTGATACTAAGCCAGTCCACATATAAGAAATTCTAATTATAGGCATGCTGGTTCAATGATCACCAAAACTCTAGTGTTGTCAGAGAAATTAAGATTATGGGTTATTGTGACATAGTCACGAGTTTATTTAATAGCTGCCTGACCACTACACATCATACATTATAACTGCCATCTTTCTCTTTTGTCTGTATGCAGAGTTTGAGTGTGAAGAAATACTTTGAGCTGGAGGAAGAAAGGTTGAATGATTTTTTGAAGAGGGAAGAACTGTGGGCACAACAGAAGAGGGAAGCTGAGGAGCTCAAGAGGAAAACGGTGAGCTGAGGACTCTGACAGTAGAATAAGTGAACAGGATTTGAGCGGACATTTTGTTTTAAGTAATCCCCTCTGAGTAAGGTTTGAAGAGTCTTAATAGTCAATCAACGATCAAACTGGGATCACTATAAATTACAATCAATGAAAACGCTGTTTCTTCCCTTTTTGCTCCAACTTCTAAAAAATGTGATAGAAGTTAAAATATTCCATTCTTCCTTTTGCTGCCTTTTGTTGCCCCTCCAACCCACTGCAAGGCATCTGTTGGTCCCCGGACCCTAGGTTGAAAACCACTGATCTAGACAGCATGTTGATTGCTCTCCCAACCATCAATATTTGCTCTTCAAGTGGCCTTGACTGAAACCGTGTGTCCTCAGCTACCCTCTAATCTCACTGGTATTGGTGAACAGTGCTCTGAACGTACAGTGAGACCTATAAATGGTTTTTATTAGCCCAGTTAAAAGTGTGTTCACCAATTTAAAGTTGACTCTGGAAAAACTGGAGAAGGACATTCCCTCTTTCTCTGTCTCCTTTGTTTCAGTCCCCTCTCTTTTTGTCTTTCTCCTCATGTTTAATTTATTCAGATCATCATTTGATCCGGGGCACTGAGGACAGTATAGCTATTGACAGCCAGAGACTGGCAGTCTGTCTTCTAACTATAGAAGTTAAATCTTTTAGTGGCTAAATGTTTAAATCTTAAGACTGGATGGCACTTATGAATACATGAATGCAGATGAAGTTTTGTTCTTGCTGCTACAATCAGCCATAAATGTCCTGCATATGCTGTTATGTTCACTTCCAGCCTTTGTTGTCACATGACAAGGCCTCAGGAATTTAATACAAACAAAACTGTATGATTGTTGTTTTCCTACGCAGCCAGTGTGAATGAGTGTATAATGAGTGTGTTGGTGGGCATGTGCAGGACTGTGTAATCTGTGTATTGTATTTGATTACAGAAAATGATCATTTAACAAACACTCCTTTAACAAAAACCTCTGATGAAAGGAATTGATACAGCCAGGTTTTGCAATATGGAAATACAATATTTTAATTTGTACATTTTATACCTGGTGAAATGTAGCAATCTTCTCAAACTGATTATAACTCATTTACATATTATAAAAACAATGTTGAATTCCAGAACTGCTGGAAGATGTAGTCTTCTTAATCAGGGCTTTGCTTAAAATTAATATTACTTAATGAAAAATCATGGTACTAAAATTCAGAAGCAAGAAAATGTAGTTTGTCAGATATTTGTGCCAAATAATTTGCTACATATTGTTTATGAGTTATATGACTAATTATTTTTGTCCCCCAGGAGCCTGACAAGCCAGCAAAATCCCTGGAAGTGAATGAAGAGGTGAACATGAAGGAATACAAAGATTACATGACGCTGGAGGAAAGCATCCTGAAGGGCATCGGCTTGTGGCCAGCTGCTGCCGACAAACAAAATACCTGATATCACACACAGTCACACACATACACATACACAAATCACATTTTATATAAAACATATAAAGCAGGTTTTTATTTATTTTTTTAAATTTAATTAACTGTTTTTATAAAAACACAAAGGTTTGTATCTTTGTTGCTGTTTTCACAATATGTGTCTTATGTATGAACTGTTTTTATTGAAATACGATCTATACTCCTCTTAGATGTTAAATATGAGAACAGCAAGCATTTTGTAAATTGATTCTGCCTTCAACATTCAGACTGTGGGTTGGGGCTTCAGGGTCACTGATGGGTTTTTTTCATCCACTCATCTGAGATCTCGTTACTGGGTAATGCCATCCATTAGCGCCCTCTTTACCACTACTGCTCCCTGAGGATACAGTCTGGAATACCTCAAGGATTTGACCTTGGCAGAAAGTCATTTTATGGCTCTTTGATTTCATGATATTTATCTGTTGTTGTTCAGAGCTCCACTAGTATATACATTAATTTTGTATGGCTCATCGTCTGCTGTTGATGTTTTTTAAATGTTTTATTAGGAAGGAATTTAAAAGTCAAACCACATACAGTCAGGCCTACATCCACCCACTCCTCATTACAAATCTGTTAGTCTCCAATCATAACCTAAATATGATCCTCATGGGGTCAATTTATGTAATGTGCCTTGATTCAGGTAACAGTTACACTGCAGATATCTGAACCAGATGAAGTGGGTGGATGTAGGACTGACTGCATTCTGGTACTGTAGGGCAAGGTGAGAATGAAATAATAGTATGTACAGCTTTCTGTAAATCCTTCAGATGATTTTAGAAATGTAGGAGTTAGGAAAAAACGAACTAAAAAAAAAAACTAAGACTTCAATATTCTTGTATAAACAGTGGGTAAAATGACTCTGTAATGGGAAATGACTCATTTGTGGTGACAAACACAACCACAGAGAATTCTCTGACTCTGCAGCTCCCTTCAGGTCTGTCCGCGTCTTTCGGCTCATTGTTTTGGTTTTTACAGCCCAGGACTTCGGTCTCACCGCTTTTAGCCACAGCAGGCAGCTCCTTTCAGGGAAAAAAAAAACCTCCACAAACCTACGCTACCTGCCAGACAAAGTTAGCAACTACCTGGTGATTCTTTGCTAATGTTCAGCATAACAACTTCATAAGGTGATGATACTGTATATCGATGTTTGGTGTGATTTCATGAAACTGTGGTTGCATGTTACCTCTAGATTTGAAGCTACACTGATTCCTAATGTGTAATTCTAATGAGAGGATTCCTATCTTATCATTTATGTCATCAGTTTGTTTCTGAGTCAGTAGCATCACCTGCTAATTTCCATATAGTGCTGGCTGGCCAGCTGCTATCCAGTCACTTGTATCAACACTACAGGTGACTGCAACCTGGATGAGGAACAAGGGAGCAGTGGAGTACTGTTCACACGTACATGTTGCTCAGTTTTCCCAAGTGAAACTTTTACTTCTGTCACATTGTTCAAAACATTTGTGAGAATGCTGTTATCCCTTGCAGTGTGTTGCAGCAAGTAGTGCTCCAGCTCTCTGGACTCCATTAGTTTCGCTCCTTCATGGGGATAAAATCAGGACGCCTCAGAGTGCTAGGTCCACCTCAGGTCAAGAGCAGCCCAGCAAACCTATAGTCACAACTGACAGCCGGGAACCTGCCAGAAAAGAGGCCGGAGGGACAGAAGGAAAGGGGGGGGGGGGGTATCTGCATAATATAGGGGCAGCTGTCTATTGCCAGGTTTTCACACTGTGTCTGAGATGCCTCAAAAGGGAAGAGAGAGCAGAGAACAGATGAGGAACAGCAATACAACTGGTTGAATGCTGGGTGAGAGAGGGAAGGATAGACTGAGAGGGAAAAAAAGAAGATGGCAAAAGATGGAAGTTGATTCCCCCAACAGTAGCGAGCTGAGGTCGACTTCACTCTAGCCATGACTCATTCACGTGGACGGTCCTGTCACAGAGCGGAGGGGGTGGAGGAGGGCGAAGAATGGGCTGATGTGAGGGTGCACAGAGGCAGGCGTCCATATGGCCCCTGAGGCACCAACGAGGTCCTGGTGACAAAAGGGGCCTCCGCTCTCCAATCGTCCCCTCCTCAAACCTCTCTGGGAATTCTGTTTTGCAGTCGCTCTCTCCTCTGCGGAGCCTCTCACTTTCTCCCAGGCCAGCTCAGGAATGTGCCTTCTGCAAACCAGCACACACACGGGTGTCTTCACCCTCGCTGGTTAGTTATTATTGTAATGGCTCATGCAAAGAATGTTGTGCAATTGAGTAAGCGTGCATGCAACGTAAACACTTGAAGGCATTTGAAGTTCCACAGACATATGCAGAGACGTTTGCAGGTTAAGCCCTGCTGCCTAGCGCTCACACTTCTTTAATGTCTTGGACAATGGACAACAGCACAGCCATAAACCCAGTGACCCCCCCTGTGAAGGGTATTCATGATGTCAGATTTTCCTCAGTTGATTTCTTCATCTATGTCCAAGTGATTTCCCAAACATAAAAAGCAATCTTTAACTAAGGGGACGGGGGTGTCTATATAGGATGGATTCCCTGCAGTCCAGTTTTTATTATCACCAATTCTTGTGAAGTTTTTGAAGCCAAATCCTGGGAAACAATGTGAGCAGGTGCTGGGCAGGAGGGGCTGTAAATCTGGCCTGGCGAATTAAGCCATTCCCTTGGCATTGTTCTGGCTGGCCTCTTAGCTGCTCCTGCTGGGGAGGGTGTTAGGTGGGGTGAGGTGGAGCGAGGGTCTGCTGCCTAAATCTCCCAACATGGGGGCACCCTGCACATTTCACACATAGTCATCCAAGTTGAACCCTCAGCTGCAGACGGACAGACAAACACACAACGTCACAGGTCCTGCAGGAGAAGGAACTAGCTGCACAACAAAAAAACATTAAAACTGAGTCAAGTGGTTGCCTCTGAGAATAAGGTTCAAGGTTCAAGGTTACTTTATTTGTACCCAATGGTAGATTTGGTTTGCAGTAAAAGACAAAAGTCATTCCTCTTGACAAAAATACAGGAAACAAACAACTCAATCATCATAAGACATAATATAAACATGATAAAGGATAAAGATAAAAGTAAAATCCAGGTTCTAAAAATCAGAACTTACCAAGACATCAATAAAAAAAACACTCATGTGATTGTTCAGACATGTTTCTTAAAGTTTTCTTGTCCATCAGAATTGCACATTCGCAGCTAATTAAAAAAGCTGCAGTTTGTCTGAAAAAGCATTTAATCTTCTCAAGGAAGACTTCAATCAGCTTCTTCCTTTAACCTGAAAGCAGCCGCCGAGTTGCTAAAATGATCCCCAGTTTAAGTCGTCAGGCTACGTTTCATCACTGTAAACCGTAAAGCTGGTTTTCTTTAAAACCTCAGAGAGGCTGGTGGTAGGTTTCATTAGTTGACCCTTGACCTCATAAGAGATCAGGTGACCAGGGCACTGCTGTGGAATGTTCCCTCTTGACTCCATTTCGTTTTTTTAATTTCAAAGCGTTTGACAGTTTGGATTCTTTTCATTTTACCAGCCCCTCCCAACGTCAGTGTGTGCGAGCGAGCAGGCATCTGTACGTCCTGCAGTCCGCATTTGGGATTAGAAAACATGGAAAGGCCACAAACTTCGGTTGCATGACAAAGTTGTGGAGCGACTGACTGACCAGCATTGACACCAACGCGGCTAAAAACTGCACGATAGTTTGGAAAAATAAACTTGACTCAAGGTTATTGGCTTTTTTTTTCTAGGGCTGTCAACAGTGTCTTACTGTGTTTATTAGCAGAGTTTGCAATTCCATCCACTGATGTGGTTGAAAGCTCAGAAAAAGAGCTTATTTTGTAAAACCTTATTGTAAATGTGTGTGTTTTTCAAGGGATTCTTGCTTTGTTGCATTTTTCATTCTTCTGAGGAGATACAATATCTTATAAGAATTTGAAAATGCAGTTCAGAGCTCTTGAAAAAGCTAGTAAGTAAATCTTGAGTCAAGATTGTTTCGTCAGACTTTTCCCAGGGTCAGAAACTAGACTTCCCTTGTCCTTGTTTATGTCCTTTCGTAAAGTACTTCTTAAACTGTTGTACAAAAATATAGTTTGTTATTATTCTGAGTAAGAGCTCTGACACTTTTCACTCAACCCCGCTGTGCCTGCCAGCATGAACGACTGATGCTCTGTAATCCACATCAAAAGAAGGCACTTCAGTGAGGGAATATTCACAATATTTCTAGCAGAGGAATTCAGGTTCAAGTGCTGTAATTTCAGTCCATCGGCAAACGTGGCTGGGGGATGATTCCCATTGAACACTGAGAAATTTTTCATGCAATACCTTGGCATAAACCCAGACCAGGATGCAGTCCCTTCAGAGTGGGATCTGTCATCGAAACTATCAGTCTATCAGAGCAAACATATGGAAAACCCTTATGGCTTTTCTCATGGCCATGGAAACTTGGTCTTTTTCTGACATACTGTCAGCAGTGATGATTACATCAACAGACCAACAGACAGTGACTGAAAGATAGTGAAAACCAAAGCAAAATGTCTAGACTACATAATCTTTCCATCAAATTAAGTTAGTTGTTGTATAATGTTATATATTAAACTTTGATCTGTCTGCCGAGCACGTGCAGTAGGAGTGTCTAGCATGTTTCAGACTGGAGGAATAAGACTTAAATTCGTCTACCCTATAGTATGAATCGTTGTTTATTGACCTTTTGGGGGGGCATTTTTTTCTTAAATACATGGTTCTACATTTTGGGAAATGTGTTTATTTGCTTTCTTTCCGAGAGCTAGATGGGAAGGTCGATATATCCTCCTCATATCGAACCACCAGCAGCCAGTTAGCTTATCACAAAGACTGGAAACGAGGAAACCGAACCGGAACTAGTCCGGCACATAACCCCCTGTTGTTGACTGGATTAAAGAAACGTGTTAATTAGTGAGTTTTAAAAGTACGAGTTTAATAGCTTTAGACGGGCTTCGTGTTTATCCTCCAGACATGAGAGTTTGTCTTGGTCTTATTCAATGGAACTATTCCTTTAAAAAAAAGAAGCTACCGTAGCTGGTAGTCAGCATCAAAGAGACTCCTAGAGCAGCAGGCAAACTTTTTTTTTTAAGTTTTACTGCTGACAGCCGGAGAGTGCTCTGCTGACAGGAGGGAGGCGATAGCATACACTAAAATACCAACTGTGTCACTCCACTTCCTCTGCGGAGAACAAAGTTATCACCGCGCCTCATATCACCATGATGTTACGGGCTGGTTGGAGGATGAATCACTACAAAAGGTGTGCCACCTGCAAGTTTATCAAACCACGGAGGCCCAAATCTCCTCATTGAGCCCGACCACAGCTGCTGTCAAGGCCTCTTTTCAGTCTCACCTTTCACATTTTTCTCTCCTATCAAGCGGAGCAAACCCTCGCCCTCATCCTGTCCTCACGCTGAAAGGAGATTGCTCTCGTCTGGAGGAGCGGGAGGGGGAGAAGTGATGAGCAGCTTACCTCTAGGAGGGATTAGCCTTATTAAAATGAAATAGTCTAGTCCTGAGTGACAGAGCAATGGAGGTGGAGGAGGGAAGAGGCAGGGAGGACAGAGGAGAGGGCCTACGTTGTGTGAGGCCCGGCCCCTGAGGATCTGAAGCGCCGCTCCTCTGTGTTCTCCTTCCCTCCATTCTTCACTTTCACCTCTCACTCTCTCCTCATCTTCTCCCCCCTTACCTCTGGTCTGCTCTCTCATCATCACCGCGGTCCAGAACAGGCGGATCTGTCAGCGGTGCGTCAAGAGATCTGCCCCGAGGCCCTCAGATGGGCTGCCAAGTACAGGGGCTGGATCGTAAGGGAACAAAAGACCCCCAAAAAACACATCAGAAAAGGCTGGGACCTTGGTAAAATGTGTTTAATAGCCCTCCTATTGAAGGGCACTGCATGTATGGAATGTGTGCCCAGGGTCACTGCGTAGAGGTTCCCAGCAATTACCCAGGCTTAGCTCGCCCATGTTTATGAGGAGTGAATAGGTAGTATGCATTGGAGAACATTAACCAACCTGAGCCTCTCAGAACACGTCCAATGAAAGATGTACAAAAGGGTTGAACGTGCTCAATATGACTTTGTGATTTGTACCTAATGACATGTACACTATGGTAATCCTTGTTAGGGGCATAAAGCCACGGTTGAATCAGAAGATCAGAGTGCACACCATGTTTTTGTCACGTGTTGAGTCTGAGTCACAATATGACTCTGATTTTGGCCTGAGCCCCCCCCCCAAAAAAACTAGGGTTCTCTGCAACATGAAATATTCAAGGTCAAATAAGTAAAGTTCAACATACAGTATGTAATAACTGCCACTAGGGGGTCTCTCACATCAAAAGAAAAACAAAAGACATAGTTGGGTGGTGAAGTAGCATTGGATTATGGGAGTCATTGCCTTCGCCACCATTGTCATTGCGGTGAGTTTCTGTCAGTTCCTCTCACATTAAAACCGGTAAAAACACAGAATAAAACCGCTGTTTGGCAAACAGTGGATGTCTCGAAGGGCCTGCCAGCCAAGCTGAAGTCAGCTAAGCTTGTTTCTCTGAATATTCAAGATCCAGACATACAAAGACTAAAATCCTATATCTGATTAAAATATATAGTCCAAGATCTAAAAAGTGTATTGTGAAAATGTGGCCTAAAACCCCTAAAGCTTCTGGCAAACAACCACAACACTGACGCATGCTCAAAGGGGATATGGTGCCGTTGACAGGCAGCCGGTGAAATGCAACACTACATGAATAAAATTACAAATTCTTCTGGCTTTGAACATTGTTGCAAACATTTTGGACAATATAAATACACAGCTCAACAAAATATATAACATAGGTTCAGTTGTATAGACATCTTAATGCAGAAATGTTCCATATTATGTCTTTAAAATTAGTAATTAATGTCGATTGTAACGCTGTCAAATTCTGATCGATGCTCTGTGACAGTAGCCTTTTTTTGCGCTCTTCAAACCAGTGAGAAGAGAACACAAAAACACAAATACAGAAGAAAAAAAGAAAAACTACTCTCCACTGGGCAGAAAAATATGGGACCACATCTACCGAAGTCGGAAGCTTTATTGCAAAAATGTGTTTTCAGGGCCTTTAGCTGCACACATTATGGTAATAGAGGAGGTTAGAGAATGTTTGCTTACAGCCAGAATTTTGATATGTTATATTGGGTTTATAAGCAGTCTTGTGAGCAGAAATGTTAATCATAAACTTCCCTTTTTGAAAGAAAAGAGTTAGGAAGTTGAAATATGCCCTGAGTCCACCATTGCCATAGGCCCATCATCAGCCCAACTTACAGCTACTCTACATCTAGAACTTTAAATAGGTTACCAACAAACAACAAAGACCAATCAGCAGGAAGGAGGCTGATACAGAAGGTGTTTTCAATTGACTCATCAGCTAATTGTGGCCAACAGGAAAGCAAGGGTGTCTGAATAAATATATAGACAACACATGTATGCTTACACACATGCATGTCCTATGTGCAAAACATTTATATTTATTTTTACACTTTTTGAATATAAAAATGAATACATTTGAAGAGGCTCAGTTCTTTGTCAGTGTCAGTTTTTTTTTCATAAGTTGAGTCACACACACACACACACACCTGATACCGCTTTAAGATGAACCTGCTGAGAAAGCAAACATTTCCACATCCCTTATTGCGAATGCTCATGTGTAACAGCAGGTTTACACAGAGGACAATATAAAAATAACACGCTGTTTGGATTTTCACGGCCCTTGTTTCCGTGGGATGTGATTACTGCAGTGGCCTGCATGTTGCTTGCCTGAAATACTGTTGCTTAACAAAATAAATCCTCATACACCAGCATAAAGCTTCAATTTAATGTCACATGGCTGATTTTAAATGTCTGCTATGACGTCTCATCGCTCCGCAGGTAAGCTGACCAAAGGTGCAACCGCCCCAGACCTTTATTGTCATGGTTAACACTACACTATACCAGAAAAAAAAAGAGTCTGAAACAAAGCCTGTGTGTTTGTGTGGTTGGCTGGTTGACATGCAGCCATGATACTGACTCAAAGGTCAGTAGAGATTAAGGGAACAGGGGAGAGAAGAAGGGGAGAAAAGGTCTGGTTTCACATGCAGGTGGCTGTCAAGGATGTTTACCTAGAGACCCATATCTCTTCTCTCTCCCAAATTAGAAATGAACAAAAGTTTAGTTCAGTTCACTCCGACAGACGGCCTGATATCAAGTGGCGACCCTGACTATCCAAACAGGCTCTGTGTTATTATGTCTACCTCTGTCTTCATATGGGATTTCACTCTTGCTTTTATTGGGGCCTAGAGAAGTGCTCTGCAAGTCAAACATGGATCAAGTACTTTCAAAATAAGTTAGTCAGTGCCTGAGTCTAAATATAAAACCATTTTCAGGTGTTTAAAAGTGGAATTTAAAATGTTACAGATAAATATTACATAATGACCAAATCTGTTTATGATTGTGAAAGACCCAAAATAACTTGAGACTGAAAGGAACATTATCCTCTTTAAAATGATATACATTTTTACAATGACAGTGAAATATTTGTCTCCATCCCCACAAAATTCCAGTCTGCCTGTTTATGGGAGTTTAGTGCAGGTTTTTTTCTTGACTTCAGTGGGGATATAAAACAGGGCTGCAGGGTGCAGGCAGGTATGCGTACATCCTGTACCGTAAATCTTTCTCATACCTGTTCAAGACAGCCATAAAAAAAAGATATGAACCTACAGTAGTGACATCAAACACGGCTTAAAACCATTTTGTGGTGAAAGGCCTATGGCTGACTTCTCATGCTAACTGTCAGAGATGTGTATCACTTCAGCTGGAGCCGCCTCGGCGCAATTTTCACGGTCCTGATTTTAGATCTCATTTTGGGAAAATACTTCACGTTAAAAATGACGTTTAACTGTTTCAGCAAACTGCTTTGGGATCTACCTGTGGTACATGCTGTTCCAATCTCACTAGTGCTGCTGGTAATGTTGGTTTTCGGAGCCACAGCCAAAGTGCAGCCTTCCAGCAGTGGATTTTACTGGACGGCTAAATGCAGCTGCGTCCTGGGAATGTCCCTGAAGCTGAAAGTTGTTCTGGGAGATTCCCACAAGCCAACAAGGGCAATTCCCCGACTTATTTATCTGTTTTGTGCTGAGGCCGAGTTACAATGCTCCCACAGCAAAGGGATGAATCTACAAAAAAACAACAACACAAGAGTCCAGTTTCCTGAAGTTAAGGTCATCTTTTCCCAGCAGCATTCAATAAAACAAAGAGTGTTTAGAATTGTTTGGGAAAGTGCGGCTACAGAGCCATGTCTTTTCAACAAGAGTGATATGATTAGTTGGCCACATGTTTTTCAAAGTTTTTATGAATGAATTCCAGGCCAGTCCATGTGTGTAGGAGTGAGAGGATGTTAACTGTGCACTAAAACTACCATTCTGACTGTGCAAACCCAGATATTTTGGGGGTTTTTTTTATAGCACAAAAATGTTTTTTCTTTGTTTAGACAGCTGCATAATCAGATCTGGGAAACCCTGTTAGTGAAGCTTTGGGTTAAGTGAATTTTAATGAGGGTTTAATTCTGGGTAATTCTGGTCATTTAATTCAGGGGATAAAATTATAGTCAATGATCTGAAAAAGGTGATATTGCAACTAAAACCTTGACTGTGTTGTGGAAATAGTAATATTAATGTAGTAAAAATAAGGAAAAGCTAAATTACTCTATTGATTAATCCAAGAGACATACTTTCTATCTCTAACAAAAAAGACACACAGGCCACACGTGAATGTAAAATAATATACTTTATTATGACCATACATTTCTCAGGATCAATACAAAGCACTTTTCTGTTTTGTTTAGTGATGTGACATTTTTCTCTCCAAAGGACAAAGAGGACAAGACAGAAAGACTAGCCATATGTAGATGCAGGTGGTTTGCTGATATATTCAGTGTGACAGAGAGGTGAGAAGGTGAGAGGATGCTAAAACAGTCAGGAATGCCTGAAGAGTGAATTACTGAATGTGTAAAACCAAACACAGCTGAGGAAAACTACAGGAAGAGTGTATTTTTAGAAGGCTTCCTCACAAAAACATCTCAGTAAAACTGGATCTTTGAAGAGTTTGTGGACAGAAATCCACAAATTAAATCGAAATGAGATCAAACTGCAGGTGATGCTCTGCATTGGTTTCCTCACTGTAAAAATAAGGTTCTTTTTGTGTTGGCCCGGGCAGACAGATGGTTTGAAAGGAACCCCGCTGAAACTCACTTTCACCGGACACGCTCAGACTGACAGCAGCAGCAGCCACAGCTTCACCACGAAGCAGCAGGACCATGAACAGACAGCATGGAGGAGGGCGGGGTGTGGAACAACGGTGAAAATAAAATGAAAAATATGTGAAGAAAAAAGCAAACTGACAAAATGTCAACCTTATCGGCTAATTCTTCTTCAAGTCCAGTCTCTTTCTGAAAAATACTATATTTTTAGGGGCTTTAATGGGTTTGTCTTGAGACAGCTTGAGAGAGGGACAGCAAAGGGGGGAAGAAAGGGGATGACATGCAACAAAGCCTTGGTCACCGTGTGAGCTACCAGGGCGCCCCTTAAAATCAGTCTCTGTAAATTCTGGAAATAGGTTTCACTTGTCAGTTCAGTTATTCTTGCATCAGCGTGGCCGTCTACTCAGACTTATTTTCTAGAAAATTCTAGAAAGATGCTAATTTGGTACTGAAACTGAAAATGTCCACTTCTTAAAATAAGACTTTTTGAGATGGAGAACTGAATCAATGTCTTCCTTTAAGTCCTCTGGAGAAAAGCCTAACCAATGCAGTCTTCTGTCTACTGGAGGAACAGGGTGACGAACAAACGAGCATACATTGCAAAATAAGTCTTTTTACACATAAATATCAAATACAAAGGCAGATGAGACAGAGCCTTGTTTATGTCAGTAAAGCTTTTGACCATGCAACGTTCAGTACCTTAAAAAAAAAAAAAAACACGCCAAAAATCTTGAACACAGCTTAGTCCACCAGAGACACAAAACAATGTCAAATATATACACAATACAATAAAAATAACAATATCACTTTTTCTGCAAGAGCACGATTTTATCATATATTTTACAGCTAAAGTTGTACCATTAGTCCAGCACATTAAGATGTGTACAGGTAGCTTGAAGGGAGAAAAAGCGACTATCGCTACTAGTCAACACTACGAGGTCATCAGAAGTATTTAAATACGCCATTGAAATAGAAGCTGTAAAAATAATATACTCCGAATACATTTATATAATTATATACATATACATATAGGTTAAATACTGATCATTCTGAATCCCTGGATTGCTGAAAACGTCCTTTGTCGATTTAGGCAGCTAGCTATGTCGTACAAACTGAGGCCCTCCACTTGTTTCCACTGCTGCTCTGAAAATTGTGCTTCACATTCGGGCTATTTCACGGTTTTGCCAGAAGCTGGGAGAAGCAGGAAGGTAACTGGTTGGAGGTTTTTAAAGGAATAGTTCGACATCTTTAGATTATTTGATTATTTTTTTCTGAGAGTTAGATGAGAAGATTGATACCACTCTTTAATCTTAGTGTACCATAAAGACCGTGTGTAACCACACGAATTAAACAAACTTGATAGATTGTGTTAATTAACTTGTTTCGTTTGTTTGTTCTAGCTTAACATTTATCATACAGACAGGAAAGTGGAATCAATCTCATCTAATTCTCTACGAGAAAGTGAATTAAACAATCTTCCCAAAATGTTGGACTATACCTTTAAGCCTAAACTGTATATGAAACACATTTTCTCTGTTTATAGTTGCCTGCTTAATCAAATAAATCTCTACTGTACAGCTTTCTGTGAACAGAGATAAGAGTGTTATTACCCTTATCTTGCATCCAATTCTGACAGGTGTGTGTATACCTGTAGATGGGTGTCTTAGCATATCGTACAATGCAGGAAGTAAATACATTTCAAGCCATACTCTTTATTTGCTTAATCTTTAAGAGGAGGTTTCAGTGGCGGCTGTTTGCCCCTCAATTCAGTCCACAGTCCATATGTTTTGTACTGCATGAACTATAATGACAATCTACACTACTGCCTGCCTCATAAGTGCATTATTGTTGTACAACATTTAGTGTTTCATACCTCAATAGAAAAGCTCTCTGCTGCCTTAAAAAGGAAATCCACCCTCAAAAAGAACGTACACATGTTCCTCCTATGATCTCGGTTTGTGTAACTAAACACTGTGTTTACATGCTTGAAAACAGACAGCAGAAGCTATGAACTCTGAACACAATCCCAGAGAAATCCAGAGTTTTCCCATTCAGCGTTAGAGACTAATGTTCTGCGGTTCAATAAAATATTGGAACATTTCTTCCACTGCCAAAAGTAATAGAGGGCCTGCCTTAACTATAGAACTGACAGGATGCTTTTGTTTTCTTAGCACATTTTTAATTGTTTTTATTTGATTACCTTATTACTGACTTTAATTTAATTTCTTAATTGAAAGGCCTAACGCGTCCTAGATTTTTTCCTACCACTGTATCGATGTGGAAGTGTCCAATGTCCAAAATGCTGCTTCAGAAGCCTACTAAAAAAAATACTCGGAAGCACTGGGATTTTCTGCTATGAAAATGGTCTATCAGTAACTTAAACTACGAATGTCGGCATCAGTATCACCGATTGAAAGCTTGCATGAGAAGAGCCCCATAGCACCCAGGGTGGTTTCGTACCTATTTGTACATCTATACTGTAGCCTTTTTCAATGTAAAAACAACTCTTCATAACATCATAGAGGTTATCGTGTTGGTTGCCAACACCGTATCAAGATCATACGAGGGGAGACATTTTATTTCAGAGCGGATTTTCCTCTTGACGTACCACCTTCACACAATTAAGGCACCTTTTAAACCCCTGAGGGGTCAATGGGTTCTTCTAATAAGAAGAGAAGCAACAATAACAACATGGAACACAGAACCGGACTGAAACAAAACCAACAACAACAACAACATAAAGTCGACAAAATCAAAGCAAAATAAAAACATTACGGAATGTCTATGGGTAAGGTACAAATGCCAGAAGTGCCCTGTTACATGTCGTCTCATCTCATCCTTTAGGTTTTTACAGCAGCACCGCACCACGCTGCCATGGTGACATGACAGGATCTCCATGGAAACACTGTGGCTGTATCCTGAAGCACCTTGATCGGTAAATAAGGTCTTCCCCCAAACCTCAACAGGCTTAATGAGTGTGTGAGTGGATATGTGTGTGTGTGTGTCACTGTGGTAGGAGTCAGTATCCGACGTTGAGCTTGTTCTTGTTGAGCTCTCTCTCCAGGTTTCCTATCAGAGTGTCGATGCTCTCCTGCAGGTCTCTCAGGTTGACCCTGTTGCTCAGCACGGGGCTGATATCCTGGATCTTCATGTACGCCTGGTAGGTGTGCTCTTTGGGCAGACAGGGGGGTAGGATGTGGTCGCACACCCTCTCCTCCTCCTTGTCCTCTAATGCCTGCCCATTTCCTGAACTATCACTCTCTACAATGTTCTCCTCCTCTTCTTCCTCCTTTTCCTCCTCCTTCACTACCTCCTCTCTCTGAGCTTGCTCTGGCTCAGCAGGATCAGACGCGGGGCTTGTGACCTTCTGCCCGTCATCTTCCTCTGCGTCATCAGGCTTCTCCTGGCCCTCCTCAACTGCCTCTGTATCCTCTGAAGGCACGTCATCATAGTCCGCCTCCTCTTTGCTGGGAGGCAGCAGAATTTCAGAAGGGAAGTAGCTCTCGCCACAGCCGCTCCAGTCGCCGGCGTAGCGGTTGCTTGGGCTGTCCAGGCGACCCGGTCTGGGCCGCAGAACACCCACCATCTCCGCTTCAGAGAGGTTCAGGACCTGGGGGCGCTCTTTTCTCCGCCGTAATGGAGGAGCGGACAGCAGGTCAGATGAGGCCAGAGCCAAAGAGGCTGCATGGGGCTGGGAGGAGGAGTGGCCATTTAGGTCTACAACTGGAGGAGCAGACAGGAAGAGAGAAACAAAGAGAGTTAATCAAAATGTATATACAGGCTATCTGAACTAATAGCCTAAGTAATGGTTCGACATTTTGGGAAATATGCAATTTTTTCTTGAGTTAGATGAAAAGATCGATATCACTCTCACGCCTGTATGGTCAATATGTAGCTATAGCCAGCTGTTGCTTAACTTAGCTTAGCATAAAGACTGGAGGGGAAACAACCAGGGGTGCAATTAGGTGGACTTTTTAAACTTTGGAGAGAACATTTCCCAAAATGATTAAATGTTTCCTTAAAGGGTTAATTCACCTAAATTACAAAAGAAAAATTTTTTTCTCATACACCCCTAGTTGTATCTAGCCATGGAGATATAGTTTTGAGATTTCTGCAATCACCCCAATTTTCAAAGGGCAAATATTTTGGTAGAAAGCAGTTCTAATGAAAAGTGTTGATAGTGAGGTCACAGTGAGTATTGTTTATGAACTGTCACACTGCTTCGGAAGGTTTTTTTAAATGTAATTTTTCAATGCTTCAAGTGCCACAAACAAAATTCCAGAAATCTCGAAACAACTGGAACTATCTGCAGAGCTAGATACCACTGAAAGTAAGTAACAAAATGTTATTGTAATGTGTGTGAACTGACCATTTAAGTCCCACTTTGGTAACTTCATGGTCGTGCCTTGAAAACACAACTAACTCCTACCATATAAAAATCCACAGGTTTATCTGAATTGACCTCTATCAGGGGAACAAACATATCTGGATAAGCCTGGCAATGGCTTGAGGGAGCCCTGAGGTTTTTGGCACTCGCCCTGCCAAAATAATCCAAACATGAACATGCCATGCTGTGCTCAAACTCAGACAAACACATGCTGAAGCCACACCACCACACTCTGTGACTTTGATGCCATCCTTCTGTACTATTTGTTATCAACTGTTGACTAAACCAAACTTAAAAATTAACTAAACTGAAACCCTGTTTGGACATTATGAAACTCATCTGACTGTGCTACAAAAAGGAACAGTGAGCACTCCAACACAACCAGCACAGTCCGGTTACCTGTCTGCTTTTATCTGTGTGTACCTACACTTGTTGACACCGCTAGCTCTCCCTTACTGGATTGGAAAGGAAAAAAAAACAACAAAAAGGTGTTAAAAGTTTGGGCTATAAATCAAGTACAGCACATGAGGTACAATATAAAGCAACACTTAATTTTATTTTGTCTACAGGCTTATGAAAGAGGACCTGGCAAGCTAATATCCTAACATGCCTTAAAACAAAAATAATGTTGAATTATGAACCATGTTGACTCCATTTCATTCATCAGGAGCTGCAGTCGCTGATACAGTACTTATGAACAGCGGTTGCATGCCTTGCAACTCTCCTGAGGCTAAAGACTCAAGCAATTATCACCTAAAACAAACAGAAATTATCCTCCTTTAACAGGCAACGTGTTATTTAATTTCAGACATGATTCACTGATGACATGATTAAAGTTATTAGCTGTCACTGAGGCAGGAAGCAGACAAAAATGATGCACTTTGTAGTGCATCATTTTAGGCAAAATAGGCAAAATAGGCAAAATACTTTCAAGTGGTGATTTTCTTAACAAAGTACAACTGGTTGATTTAAGAGTTATCCCTGCACAGGAGCACAATAACAAGATACAAACAAATGTACACACACACACACACACACACACACACACACACACCCACATTCCCCTCTTCTTCCTGTCATTCTGCCTGTCTAACCATCAGCTCACATCCACTCACACATACAGTTGGCAGACTGCATAATTCCCACTACACCTCCTCAGCCTCTTCAACGCACACGTATGCTCATGCTCTCCCACACTTCCTGTAAAAAAGTATCAGCAGTGTCTGATGTCCTTGCACTTGCCCAAAGGCATGCACACTTAGAGACCTGCACAACAATGCCTCGGAGGGCCTGGGTATGTGTGTGAGAGGTGTGAAGAGGCGGCTGAAAATATCCCATAATGATTGTGAAATGTTAGGGTGAAGCTTCAGGGGCTGAGGGCTAAGGTTAAGCCTGGAATGTCCTTAATTACAGTCCAGGCGTCCTCTGAGCTGGGGAGGCGGGCAGAATGAAGATGTCACTGAGGGTGTAAACAAAAGCTTGAACCTGGACTGAAAGCTTTGTCAAGGTTATTACAGGTCATTATAGGCACTAGCCGGGTGACATCAGCTGCAGACAGGAGTGCAGAACAAGTGCAGGCTCTACTGAAGATTGAAACCTATTTTCTTCAGACCACTTGACCCCGTCGCCCTCCGTCATTGTCTGCATGTATGCTCTAAACTATCTTTGCACTTTTTTTGTTTATCTTTTGAAATTCCACTCGTACTTTGCCAGGCTACCTGCAATTATGGGATTCACAAATGCTGACTTATTCAGTGGCTGCACTTAGTTTCCCTCTCTGCGTGTTGCCTCCCCGGATGATGTAAATGAGGGTGGCGGGTGCTCGACTTCAGTGGTTTTTTTTACGCAGAATTGGCTCAATGTGGGAGTCTGAGGATGCAGTTAAATTTAGAGGCCAGACCAGACACAGAGTCAGTTCTTCTTCAGACATCAATCAGCAGATCTGGTTAAAACGGCAGGTTACTAGGAAGGGCTCAGAGGATTTAAATCTTTCAGGGATACAGTCTGTCCAGTGTGATTTTGTTCTTATAGAACATGAATTTTGGGAAATGTGTGCCTTATAATACACTGAAACTACGAGACAGAACGTAAAAGAAAATCACTGCAATGTGAAAAACAGCCTTCTTTAATTTTGACTGATGACAGTGGTGCATATTTAAAATTGTATAATGGATTTTTAAACAGACTCAAAACCTCAGTTTTAATGAAAATGTTACTAACCCACAGAGGAAAAGGCAAACTGCCAACTACTACAGCAATAAGGTTATATGCTAATGGCAGTAATGGATTTTCACCCTGTCTTATCTTTTCAAATCTGCATCTAGGCAGAGCACACAGTTTTTTTTAACGTCTTGTTTAACTTTCTACAGTAGCTGAGACTTTAACTGCACGACAGCAGCCCCCTCACATTGATAAGAGAACTTAAAATTAAAAAAAAAAAACATCTGAGTCTAAAAATAACAAACAAATTAGTTTCTGTGACCAATACAGATTTTACCCCGCGTGCAGCTCCATTTCATTACTCTCGGCTCTCTCCTGAATAATATTTGGGTCCCTTCATATCTCACACTGAGCAGACAGCTGCAGCTGGCAGAGAGCAGCTGTACAGACAGACAGATGACCTGTTCTGAGTAAAGCGGGTACTGGGTATCTGTCTGGTATCTGTCCTTGGTTGGTGATTTATCTTAAGACAGGGGGGCACGCCTCAAAAGTTTGGTTTATGTTGGGGCTTACTGGCTTGGCTCTGATTGGCTCAGTCTGCCACGATGAAGCACTCTGTGGAGAGTTTCATCTCTGAGGAGCCAACAGATGGTGGCCAATGGCTATCAGGGCTGTACTTATGCCAGTGGTGGATAACCTCAAGGATCAAAGCAGCCCAGCCCTTTAACAGTCCTTTGTAGGGCTGAACCGCAGAGCTGGCACTGATTTGTACAAGACCCTAAAGGCTGGTTTATACACGCTTACTGACATATATTACCTGATTGTAAAAAAGAATGGATTTCAAACCAAAAAACCTGGTAGAACTGTATTTAACATGGCAAAATATTGTCTAAGGATAGCATGTATTCACTAAGTAAAAGAAAACTCACCTGGCCAGAGCTGGAGCAGATAGTGCAGGACTTCGATGTGTTTTTTGAAGTGTAGCGCGCTGGCCAGCTCCTCTGAGTCGATGAAGACTCGGTTGGTGTGGCAGGACGCTTCCTGACGCTGGCTGAGCAGCACCGGGCCGAAACACACCGCCAGGTTCTGACACGTCATCTTGTTCACTTCCTGGTAGGACGCTACCAACTTTAGGTGGTCCAGAAGCCTCCGCAGTGTCATCTGTTGTATGTACACACATACACACACACACACACACACACACACACACACACACACACACACACACAGTGCGCAAACACAGACAAATAAGACATGTTATTATTATGATTAGTAGTTGTAGTAGTACCACTGGCAGCAGCAGAGCTACACTGCAAAATCTACTTCATTAGGTTATTTGTAGCAGTAAAAAGTTATATTTCTTGTAAGAAATGAAGAAAAATTATACTTTTAGCAAAAAGGCAATATTTTAAATTAATGTTACAGTACATTACATAGACAACCTTTCCTACACGTCTTGCTGTAATGCCCAATAGTTGTGATAATAATATTAAATAGCAGACATATCATACTGGATTGCATTAAGTTTAGAGTTCCCTGGGCATGCTCTGCCTAGCTCTCTCACTGGCGGCCATGGGGAACAAAAAAGAAGTTCGGAAAGAAAATCCCAATGTGACGTTCCAAGGGCTCCGTAGGATTGGAGAAATTTTACAACATAGGAAATAATGATTTTTTTGCTTGGAAAATTTAAATAGAACAGAAATTATTATTCCTACAGGGAAACATGGGCAAGATTTCTAAAAACTCAAATTTCCCCAGATGGCTGTAGCTGGGAAACACGGTGTTATGAGTCTGTCACTTGGAGCTACTTTTTACGGTCTTTATCCTCTTTTGTTTTTGTAAGTGTTGGACCAATAAATTGCAGCTCTCAAAATATATTTTTGAGGTAGTTAAGAAACAGTATCAGCGTTACACACTTTATCCTCCAGAGCGCACCGACAGGTTTACTTTTCAACTGTAAAATGTTCCACTCATTACATATAACGGTCACAATGGGATCCAAAAATACTTGTTCATGATATTGCTGCGTTATTTATATAAAGAATACTGGCTGATATTTTATTGGGTTGTTAAACTCTAACATATTGATATTAGTATCTGCCTCAAGAATCCAGTGTCAGTCAGACTTCATCAGTTTTCATTTATCCATAACCTGAAAATAGTTAAATTATTGAAAAGGTGTAGAAAAAATTACACCGGTACAGGCTCGTGGACTGAATGCCACCACTAATATCACCCAGTGTAAAAGCCTACGTAATAGTAACAGTAGTGATCTGTAGCATTATCGTCATGCCCATCATTATGTATGCCACAATTATCCCTTTCACAACCACTTCTGTGACAATATTCCAGCACTATGATGACTGTGAGAGGCTGAAGGGAATGTCTTCCTCACCCTCTCCACCTCTGGCAGGATGTCCAGCAGGCTGACAGTGTGCTCAGAGTCGGCCTGGTCGTTCTCGCAGCCCGCCGCTCCTATCCGCAGAGGCCTCATGGCCATGGACTCCAACACTGCCTCATACAGGTTCTTGGTGATCAGAGGGTAGGGCAGCTCTCGCAGGTAGTCCTTCAGCACTCCTGAAAAGTGAGACAGAAAGAGAATAGAGGATGAGTCATTAAGATAATGATAGTGAGTAAATTTGAACTCTGTAAACGAGTTCTTTGCAGCATAGCTGAGGGTCATTCAGTTTTCCCACACTTGAGCTGAGAAATACTTCTTGTCCTCGACATAAGCAGCTTTAATACCTGACAAATCACTAACAATATATCTTTATGAAGTGCTGTTATTGAGAAATAAAAAGCTTTTATTTCCCCTCTCTTTTAAAACGACTGAACCTGGCGCACTCTCTTGGCTGCAAATTGAGGTCCCATTGTTTCCACGGGTGATCCTGTGGCGTCTGCTGAGATGCCTGATTGGAGTCGGGCGTGACTTGGCAGCCAGAAGTGTTGGGGGGCCGGGTGTCTTTGACGGCGCGTTCACACCTGTGACTTCTGCCTCCCGCAGTTCAGACAAAAGCTACGGGAAAACATGAAACCCACGCTGTCTGTCTCCACTAAGCCCCTGAACTATCGCTGGCATGTCTTTTCATCAAAGGCGGAGGGGAGAAAAAAAGAATAAATACGGGAATAAGAAAGGCTCTTGGCAGTGTGACAGCCCTTTGTGGTGAGTGTCTGCTCTTTTTTCCCTCTACATGAAGCTAGATCAGTTTTCAGAGACAGCTGGGGGCTGTGTAATCAGCAATATTGGTTATGCTCCAACCTAATACACACTGAATGTAACAAGAATATAATCTTATATGACTTATATGACTCACTGTAATGATCAAATGGTGACCAAATAAAAAGGATAAATAACACAGAATCAAAGATATTGACTTTTTTATTCCATGATTCGTCCTCGACAAAATCTGCAGCCTACAATGCCCATAATGCAACTGCTGAGAGCTCAGTCAGAGATGCAGGTGTGCTAAGCGAGTAGCAGCTAATGTAGCCCCAAGCAGAGATGAGGAGTGGGCTACTGAGGTCTGCGGAGCTCACTTCTTTCTAACGCTACACTACAGCCGACGCTGACTCAAGCAACATCATTTAAGGTAGCTTATATGATTTCCTGAAGCACCCTGTGAAGCCACAAAAGGCTTTATATGAAGTTTTTTCACATCTGCAGTTCAGTCAGGACACTCATGTCAAGATTTTATTTATTTATTGCGGCAATAAGCATTTTATTTTGGCGGTGTGGCATGTGTCATGTGATGCTCTGGAAAAAATCTGAGCAAGCTTGACACAGGCTGTCCTTGAGCTATATAGAGATATAGAGATATACAACATTTAATGAACATGAACACATGTTGAACAATCAAAATTCACAGTGCATTTCTGAAAGCAGGCAGCAGTGTAGCAGCATGGATGCAGAGCTCAGTGTTGTTCTACACCGACTGAATGAGTGCCAAATGTTAGAGGTATAGTTAGTGGACATGTGTGATCGGAACATGTGACTGTAGAACAACTTCCGTGCCTGTCTGAACTACCACACGCTCCATTAGTACTCCCCAACATCTGTAAACAGACTTTGATGTGTAAATTCAGGGGACATGGGGGTTTGACAGACTTAACATCCGACAATTTACAACAGAAAATGAGCTACAAATGGAGTGACGCCCACGCGCTAGGGATGGGAATCTTGAAACGGTTCCAAATTGTCCGATCCATCGGAATCGTATGAGCTTATCAGTTCCTATTATCAATGCCAGCATGTTCTGACAGTGGCGCATTGCAAAACAGTGAGGTCAAACTGATGGTCTTTGCTGCTGGAAACCTGCAGCAAGAAGGAGTCATGACAGAGTGGAAGAAACAAGTCCATTTCACTCTTATTCTACTCTGTGTTTAGACTGTGTAAGCCTACTTTTTCCACACAGAAAAGAAAATTTAATCAATAAGGGAATCAACAAATTGGACCAATAAACACAACTGATAATGGTATTGGTATCAATAAAATGCTATCAATTCCCATCCTTACCGTGAGCCAGTTTAAGCAATCAAATGTGAAATACTTTACTCAACATATATCAGCAGAGCCACACTGAATCAATATTTGCACACTGCACTGTATAGCTGCACTGCTCGTTTGCAGACATTTACAAACTGCTGAAAGCTCTCCTGCCAAGAGTCCAATCACGTTGCTTCAAGATGGCTTGTCGAGGTATAGTCATTATGCTACAGCTGCCGGTGTTCTACAACTTTGTGTCACTTATCTTATCAGTTGTTAGCTTCAGACACGCATTCGAGCCAGAATAAGAGATTTCCTGTCCTTGCTGTCCACAGCTTTGGACCGTGGCGACTCTTCCCGAAAGGTTTATTCTCCACTGAGATGCCAGAGATTACCACTTTCCAACACAACGTGCCTGTGCTAACATGTTTATCGTATAATGTCTTGGCTCTGTTCAGGTTTTGTGTATTTGACACTTTAAATGTGCTGCTGAGGCTGTGCTTCTTCTAAATTCTGTGCAGTATTTGCATTTCTAAGTTGTGGATTAAGTTCTTCTAGCGGTTGAGTTTATTTTTCTTTAGTTGTATTTTGGCACAAACATTACGACTCACCTATGTTGTTGATTTATGCAGTGGTGAAATATGAATGTTCAGATTTTAGTATAATGTGTGTTATGAGCTGAATAGGTCTTGTTGCATTGTGTTTGGGGTTTGGCTCACAACAAACTTGGATCACTGGTAGATGGTATGATGTATATTAGTTGATTTATACGTGTTTTACCTCTGAACAGATAACTTTCTTTTCTACGGTTTACAGTTCTAGGCTGAGCTGAGCTAACTGTTAACTAAGCTTATACCCATGTACTAGGTATGTTGATGATGATGATCGTCCTTTTATCTTAACATAGGTAATTTAATAATATCTGCTGAATAGCTGACATGCCTTTAAAAACGATAAGGTGAATAACTGGGTATATAGATTAAATATATAGATTGAATATACAATGTTTGGAGGTGCCTTGTTACAGAGTGCTCATATAGTGTCAGAAAACTGTAAAATGATGAATAGAAGAAAAATGACTTCGCACCACTAACCCTGTTACTTTTTGTAGATATTTGCAATGTAGTGACACAATCCCCTGAGCTTTTTTACTGCTTAGATTACTATAAATAGGAGCTCCCACTTTATCACTTCTACATCTCTGGGTTATCTCCCATACACCCGAGGGGTTTTTCTTGCCTTCTATTTACAGCAAACTACAATAAGATTCACGGTAAATCCACTGACATCCCTTTAGGCCCAGTAAGGAGAATGGAGGGCACTACTTAACACACTCACTTTTTAATCCCAGTAAGTCTCCACTCTGCTCTTTAAGAGAGCCTGAGGCTTAATGTTTTTCAGTCCGTTC